ATGTTGTCACGTTAAAGTTTGATACGAGATAGTTCACAAGACTTTGTGATACATTACAAAGGCTGTTCATTATCTGATGCTGTTTACTGAGGAGAGGTCGATCAAGTTGCAGATAACTTTTGACTTTGGGTCCATAACCGTATAAGGATGTAGTCCAGGATGAAGTGATGAATGCACTCGAGCATACCTATATCAAACGAAGCATCTGTGATTAAAAGTGTATTCATACTAATGAATGCATCGAAATTTCAAGTCAATGTATTCTTTCATTTTGTGCACTTTCAATATTGAAATTCGAAACGAAATGCTGGACATTTCGTATTACTTATGGCTTTCAAATAATGAAAATAGATGTTTTGTTCACAGAGATCTATACATAGAAAGTAACTGCTGGCAAAATGCCTATGATCGAATACGGCAAGTTAAAACACCATCACAAAATGACTTAGGAAAGAGTTGTGTGTTTACCGTTCGAACAAATTTGATTAGTCCTTTAAAATTTTCAAAGCTGCTTTCAAAAAAGTTGACACAAAATTTTTTGCCTTATACTCTAAAAGTGCACAAAGTTCTGATAATTTTCTGAAGTTTTTGATTCGTCTACAAATATTTACAAGCAGGTGACATAAAAAAAGAAAAAAACATATTGTGTAGAAACTTTTAATCCACCAAATTTCTTGAAAAGGACGTGTATTGTTGTGGTTGTAGAGTTTGGGTAGAAATGATTGAAAGACAACCCTCACATTCACGTCTTTCAGAGAACATATAGAATTTGCTAATTAGTTTAATCCCTTTTCTGTATCCTATGAACAACGAAGTAATCAAGTCACTCTATACACGGGTTATACGGCATTAACTACATATATCTACGTGATTCACATATTATAGAGAGACGGATACCCTATTTGCATGATCATTTCATCACTAGCTCTTTTGGAACTGTTGAAGGTGGTAAAGATTTAGATAATGTTGGGCTTGTATAGATATTTTTTTAATTAAATCTTTGAAATATTCTATTAGAAAACATTATGTTAGACTAATAAGACAGAAAGCTTCTTTTTCGTTTCATAACAATCTTCTAAGCAATAATTATGACTCCGTAATGTGAGACACGATAGAAATGTTTTATGTGAATGGAAACGTGTTGTCATGTATATCAAAGGAATGCTGAATTTTTATTCTTGGTATTGATACGATTCGAGATAGGAATTGGTGCATCCCCTGTGTATCGTGAACAGTTAAAGAACTATCGTTCCGAAATGGTGAGAGAGGATTTCATAGATGAAGTTGCAATAGAAAAATGAATTTTTTGAGTTCATGATTTTGGGTTGATTAGAAACCTAAAAAATTGTTGGAAAATAAAAAAAACTCTTTAGTCTAGAGTAGTAATTTGTGTTTTACTGCGATAAACTTCCTCTTCCATTGATTATCATATTTCAAAAAATCTAAAATTTGTCTGAAATCTTTCAAGTTGATCAGAGTTGAACCAGTTGATTACCTGAGTAGATCAATTTTCTATACAGTCACATGAAATAATGAACATCTTATTTATCAAGAGAACATCAACTGTTAAGAAAGAACAAAAATCGTATGATAAAATTCTTTTCAAATGTTGATTGCTTCGTAGTCTCAGTTCTAGGAATAAAATGAATTGGTGACACAAAGATATCGAATTCGATGTATAAACGACAACGTTAAAGATTATACAAAAAGATATTAGATATTAATTTGTAAAGAAAGTTTTTATGATAACTGTTAAAGAAAATCTTGGAGAAGATGGAATTCAATATGTTACGCCTCTATAGATCCAAATTAAATGATCTTTTTTCGAAAAGTCCCGCTTTTCAAGCGGTAGGATAGCGAAACAACTGTAACTGGACTATTTTGTAATTAGAGAACAAAAACCATCAGAAATGTGAAAACTTAAAGTGTTGTAAAAGGTTAATTAAAGAATGTTTTTACTATACCTAAGACAATCTAAATCTTTGTTAAACGCAAAAATTTATTATTTTTTTAAACTATATTGTTGGTGCAGGACTACAGGTTTTTCGATGGATTCCTAACTCTTACATTACATCGAGAAATAAAGTCCACTTCATTAGTCTACTTCGATAAAAGCAAAAAAAAAATATGTCTATACTGTTCTATTCCAGAGAGCAACATTGTCGGCAAACGGCCGCTTGGAGATCCAATCGATGAATTTATCGTAGCAAGAATAGATTCAGATGAATCAAGTTCAGAACAGCCTTTTAAACCTTGCGGAATGTTTGTCGACAATAATTTTACTTTATATGTAGCTAACGATGAAAGCAACACAAAAGTTTCCAACAAGGAGAAAGCGATGGGACCACAATGGCAGGAGATGGAAAACCACCAGAACTATACTTAGAAAATCCTTCAGATATCGTACTAGATGCCAATGGCTATTTATATATTGCTGACAAGGAAAATAATTGAATTATTCGCTCAAACAGTAATAACTACCAATACATAGCTGGTTGCAATAAAAATTCGGGGTCGAAACCGACCGAATTAAACAAACCATACGCTCTTCGTTTTTACAGTCATGGCAATATATCTGTTGCTGATAAAAACAATAATCGGATACAAAAGTTTAGTTTAGAATCGGATTCCTGCGGTAATCACAATCAATAACTATAGATAAAAGGAAAGCATATCCTATAGAGCCAATATCAGTTTGATCTATCATTAAAAAACATAAATGAATTAACAAGGAAGCCTCCCCAAGTGACACTCCGTTTGAGCTCATAGTTTGCTCATAAGTAGGGCTCATAGGGCATATGAAAATCCTAAAAGAGTTTGTCCCCATAGCTTGTTGCTGTTGAGATATTGCATTCTTAAGATATTGCTTAGATTCACTATCATGGTCTCCCTCAGCAACACAAGAAAAACTTTTTTTCGAATTTCAACTTGAAACTTTGTCCAGGGATACATCTTAATGAGTTTAGTTTATTGCAAAGGTTTTAGTCCTTTTCTTTGTTTCTATTTCAGATTGCAACTATGGTAACAGAATATCGCCTATCGTGGTAGATTATGATGGTCTTATGGTAGATTAGGAGCATACAACAAAGCTGAAACTTTCAAAATAAATTGCTCTCATTAAGATGTATCCCTGGATAAAGTTTCAAGTTGAAATTCGAAAATAAGTTTTTCTTGTGTTCTTAAGGGAAACCACGGCAGTGAGTCCAAACAATATCTTAAAAATTCAGTTTCTCAACAGCAACAAACTGTGGAGACGAACCCTTTTAGGACTCTCATTTGCGTTATGAGTCCTACTTATGAGCAAACTATGAGCTCAAATGGAGAGTGCCACTTTGGGAAGTTCCCTCATAAAAGAATCATGTTGTCCTAGTAGCTTATAAAAACCATTGTTTTCTTTGGTCATTCAAATTTAAACTGAATCTTTAAAGTAGACTTTGATTTGTAACGTACGGTTTGATTTAAACAAGATACATATTGTGAGAAAAGCATATACATTGGAAGGGTATGAAGTCTATTATTTTTTGATTAAATAGAATTATTAACAAAACTAAGATAAGTAATGCAAATAACTTAGATTTAATGGAGTGAACATTCTGTACCTCGTTTTGAGACGTTACTCCAGAATAAATTGATGATTGTCTGTTTAATATAGCACCGGCAATGTCTACAACAACAACAAATACAACGAAAATATCTACAAAAACAAAAACAATAACAGTATCTTCAACAACATCTACAAAGACAATATCTACAACAACAACTACGACAATATCGATGACAACAAGTTCCAGAACTATATTGACCACAAATACTACAATAATATTTGCAGCAACCCATGCAACAGCTACAACTCAAAAAACAGGGTGGGGTGTGGGTGTGGGTGTGGGTGTGGGTGTGGGTGTGGGTGTGGGTGTGGGTGTGGGTGTGGGTGTGGGTGGGGGGGGGGGGGGGGGGGCGGGTGGGGGGGGGGGTGGGGGTGGGGGGGGGGGGGGGGG